AAGGGGGGCAGAGAGAGAGAGGATGACACACAGCAAAAGGCCGCAGGTCAGACCCGAACCCGGGCTGCTCATGGGTCGCCAGCTCTACCTACTGAGCCAACCGGGCGACCAAAAGTAACATTTTTATTGCTGCTTCGATCTCTGTAATATCACATACTACTTTAAAATGGGATTTTAGTAAATCCTGATTAATGCATGCAGGAAGGGGAAGTAGTGTAATGTGTGCAAGAAGCTTACTCGGATGAAAAGAAATGAATGTACGTTGACATCATCTGTGTTTCTATGGAGAGGGTTTGGATACAGGTAACTCTGCTCACACACAACACATTTGGATAAGAAAAGAAGATTCAGATATCCTGTTTCGGTGATGTAATGTTTTCCTGAGCAGTTGAGGGCTTTTAACTGAGGGCCTCCTCTCTGTCTGTCTACCTGGAAGTGAGTCAACTCTCTGTGCCGCCCAGGGGCCCTGCCGTCATTACTGGATAATGGAGATGGAGCGCTGTCCTGGATCTGATCGCCTTTATTTAGCTGCTCCTCTCTTTTCTCTTTGTCCCTGACCCACATACACACACAGACGCGGGCAACCACACACATACAGCAGGTGTCGGTCTCAGCATTAAGCATGCCACAGTGTGGACGATGTGCAAAAACGTGACAGACCTTTAACTTTGCTACTGTGAAACAGAATTTGCATTGTGGTATTTCAGTGATTTTGGACAGTAAAACATCTGTCTGCCAAAAATCTGCGTATCAAGACTGACACTGAACGACTCACAGACTTTGGAGTCTGATGGAGTTTGTCGCGTTACATTCAAATGGTTTCCATCTGAACGTGATGCTTCTGAGTGTGAAAATAAAAGATGCAGGTCAGAATCACTGTTCCACTCCAGGTCCTTCACTTCCTAAAGGAGTTAGACTTGTGGAGACTGGTCTTCACACTAATTTTACTGCTGATTTACTACAGCTGTTAATCGGAAACATCTCCAAGAGTCTGTTACTGTGTGTGTATTATGCTTGCAGTCAAACCTATAACTTCTTGATTTTAGCCTGCAGAGGGCAGCATTTCTCAACTCTTTTACCATCAGTGTGCAGACACTGGGTTGTTTCAGCAGCAAAGAGAACATCAGTTCAGCAGGGGAATAGAAAAAGTTCTGATGGGATGTACAAAAGTGATGCATACTAAAATAATGTTGTTAAAATCTTTCATTAGGAGATTTAACATTTGCAGCTGATTCCTGATCAGCTACAGGAGTTAGACATTGTGTAAAGTTTAAAACTGCTTGCTTGAATTTAAATGTATTTTATTATGTCAGTGTCTTAAATTAACAAGATAGAAACTGAAATAAATATGTACAAAAGGGTGGAGCCATTGTGAAGTGTGATGTTTTTCAGGTGCAGCTGCTTGTTCAATGTGAACCCTTTCAAATCTAACCATTTTTGTAGCTGCAGCGATTAGGTGATTAATCAATTAGTTATTGTATTAAAAAATGCATAGCAAATATTTTGATAATTGATAATTATTTTTTCATATATAATTCTGGTTTCTTTAGTCTTCTATGACAGTAGAGTGAATGATTAATAAAAGTTGTGCTGTTGTATTCAGAAGTTAAAATAATCATTGTTTCTTTCGTCTTGCTGTTTTTCAGATGTTTTCAAAAGTGGAGTCCTGAAAATGTGGAATCTTGTCCTAAAATAAGATGCAAAGATCAGGGCCCGTAAATGCATATTTTTCTAAATTACAGTTCTGCAGTTGACAAGGACACGATGACTTACAGCCCTCGAGGAAGTACTGCAGTATTTTTGAGCAGTGTTTAAAATGTGTCTGGATTAGATATCCAAAGGAGAACTGCAAACACTGCCCTACAAGAATGGACTGACAATCTATAAAATGTCAATATATAAAGAATATAAAGAGGAGAAAAATCTGTAAAGAACACTATTCATAGTTCCTCCACAACCAGCAAGAACAACAACAGGAAGCCAATGGGCCAGTAACAGCTCGTTCATCACAGATCAGAAAGTACAACATTCCTGATCTAGAGATGAGTGTTTCTCAGCCCAGCGAGGGTCTCCCTGTCAGGGGCAAAAGTGGATCCACCATGAGGCTCCCACTTCACAGTGCAGGAGACCACAACGGGAATGCTTTCCCAATTTCCTCCTCCTCCTCCTCCGCCTCCTCCTCTTCCTCCTCCTGTCTGGGGGAGTCGTCTCCAGAGTCACTGCGGAGCCTGAGCAGCCTCAGTGGGGGCCGGACTGACAGCCCACTGGACTATGACATGTTTGAGGTCACCCTGATGACGACAGTGATGACCAAAACGGACAACGTGACAGATGTTGTCATTGCGAAATGGGTACCAGAGGTGAAAAGTATACCAGATAACAATGATGACGTCTCAGTGGGAAAGATACAAACAGCGGCAGAGCTAACGGAATCCAACGACAACTCTGTGTCTGTCTACGTGGACGCCATCAGCGGCGAGTACCGCCAAGACACCTGGAACGACAACCTGACGCTGGCCCTGACCCTGGCGACAAACAGCGATGGCTGCGGCAATACTCATGACCGCAGCCGCAGAAGTGGTAATGGGAGACGGCACGGCTCCTCAACCCCAGACTCAGACGCTACAGAAATCCCTGCCGATGATGATGATGACGATGACGAAGAGGAGGGTCTGTTTTTGTCCGTGAGCTCTGACATGGGTGTGCGGAGAAGCAGCGTGACCCTCTTAAGCTCGGGCAGACGATCCAGTGACAGCCTGGTGGACCCAGGTAGCTCTGCTGTGGCTCTGAGTGTAGCTGATGAGAGGTCAGAGCTGGTGTTAGAAGGGCTGGAGGTTGCCTGTCCCCTCGGTGTACCTGTGGAAGACCAGACAGAGCCTCCAGCTTGTGAGGACCTTGGTGACACCCCCCTGAGATCATCATCTTCTGCCAATCCAAGTCAAGATGCTAAGGAAGTCACACGTCCTCCACCTGAGAAAGTTGAAATCAGTGCAGTGGGCCCCAAACTGAACGCCAGTCAGCCAGCCAGAGCAGCTAAATCCAAATCAACCACTTCAATTACAACTGCTCCCAAGACAGCCGTCAAACCATCCACTCTGGAGGCAAAGAGAGTTTCCAAACTGGATCTAAAAAACGTCAAGGCTAAAGTTGGGTCCCGGTCCACACCATCTCCAACTAAAACACCCAGCCAGGTATTGTAGTGTTACTGAAAAGCTTCCGTGACTCAAGTATTGTGCAGCTGTCTTCTGTTTAATGTTTGTAATTCTTCTTCTGCGCAGCAGAACAGATCCATTCCAGCCAATGGAAAAAGAGCTGTTTCTAGGAAGGAGGAAGCACAGACTGGGGATGGAGGTAAAAAGCAACGATCATCTACAGGTCCAGTCAAAGTGGCTGTGGTGCTGAAACCCATCAGAGGGAAGAGCAGTAACCTCACAATCAACCACAAGACAGCAGCCGGTGACTGCGCTCAGCCAGAGAGGAAAAGTGCGGCCGTCAGTCGAACACTCTCCACTTCGACCAGCTCTCTAGGGTCTGAGGCGGTTGAGGAAGGAACCCTGGACTCTCCCAGGAAGGCTGTCCAGGAAGTGCCTGGTAAACTGGAAACAACTGAAGATGTGAAGAATTCACATCCAAATGAAGATGCTCATGAAGAGTCTGTGGAGGACCAGAGGGAGGGTACTGGGAAGGCTTTAATGACGGAGGCAGCAGTGGAGAAACCAAGGAACCATAGCAGGGTGAGTACGATGAGAAATGTGTTTAAACTGAGCATCTCTTGGATGAGAGAGGGAGAGGGGGAATGCACACCAGTGTCGGAGAGGTGCTGACGATGATTAAAGTACAGGTGTAGAGGATGGTCTTCGGCAAAACCGCTCACAGGTGGGGAGTGTCCTCAATTACATTTGCATGTTGTAGCTGTTTCATTAAAACATCACATAAGGAACAAAAGGTTAATGATTCAACCAAGCTTTTTAGATTTTGGCAATTCATTTCTCAAACCTAAAATCTTGAATATGCAGGAAAACGTTATATCCATCTTCATTAATTACTAAATCCATGAATATGATTTCCTTCTGCGTTCTGCTGGCCACAAGACTTATTTTATCCAAAGATTCTGTCCCTCCAACATATGGGCAGTGGATTAGAAAGGTCATATGTCATGCCTACCTAGAAGAAGATCAGATATACCATAATACTAGAGTCCACAAGAAAATTCCATTCCATGTGGCAACAATTTCTATCCTCTGTTGATGGCACTGCAGCTGCTATCTTTTTTCCTTTCTTAAATTATTTGTTATTTTTGTATACTATGAATGTAATATGTATTTATATAGGCACATTTTTGTATGGATGTCTGGCTGTACGCAAATGTACTAATAGTAGTTCTTGGGGGGTTTGATGTATCGATTCTGAACACTGAATAGATATTTATGTTTAGATCCTCAACAGCTAGATATGAGTGTTAAACGTAAACTGAGGGCAGGGATGTTGGATATCACAGAGACTGTGATCAGTATAAATGCAGATCCCACGGTTCTGGTTGCATGAAAATAGTAAACTTTTTTTAAATTCAGATTTTATGCATGTAGCGATGTGGTCTTTGACAGTTCAATCTCAAATTTGATTTCTAAAATTCTCAATATATCACCTAAGTTACACTATAACGATAGATCGCAATATATTGAATTGTAACCCCTATCTCGTGATATGTATCGTCTTGCCAGATTCTTGCCCATACACAGCCTGGTCTTTAACATGACGTGTCTTGATAAGGCATTCTGGACACCATCCTTTTTGACATTTACATGGAGATGTTTTCTGACATAATGTATAACTTAACCTTTTGATCAAACTGCTTTTATGTGTTTCAATGAACCAGGCATTTTGCTCCACCTAGAACATGTACTGGAGGACACACCTTACCATGGTAGAGCACGCCTGCCTTATCCTCTGTTTGTCTGTTGAGCCTGTCCTTTAATACCCTAAAGTTGGTACATTATTAAAACATTTGAGTGTGCAATTATTTTTCTCTGCACCTCAACTGAGCAAATCTGCCTCAGTCTTGTGTGTTTAGTCACAGTCACTGGCCCGAGATAAAGCTTATGCAACACAACCATTGTGAAACAGATAAGTGTTGCCACCCGCTGGATCACATCATCTGTCATAAAACCTGGTGGTTTAGTGTGTGTGTGGGGAGTCATTGGGTTTACTGGGTCTTTTAGGCTATAGACAAAGGAAACTTTGTGGATATACAGTAACATAAAAAGTGTTATGTTTTTTTAAACGAGCACAGGTTGTTACAACACTTTTCAGAGTTTTATTTTTAAATTCCAGCTTTACAGCTGAAGGGAAAATAGCATTCATGGTATGTGCTCAAACAGGGAATACTGGGGTTAAACACTGTCATTAACATTTGCAGGTCAGAGGTAGGTAGGTTGGAATTAGGTAAAGTATAAGTCAACACCGGAAAATGAACTGAATGAACTGTGAATAATAGGCGAATGCAAATCCACCTTTTTCAAAAGGTCGTCTCCTGCCCTAAGCTGTGCTGTTGTCTGGCATCGTTTACATACGCAGAGGAGACAACGTCATAGCAGGTTTGGTGTGCACATGCAGTTGTACATGTACAGTGTGTATTTACTCTGCCTCTGGTATGTGTGAGCCAATGACAGGTTTAAAACCTGCCCCAGCATATTCTCAGCACAGGGTGTGTTTAAAACAGGTCTCACACACCTGTGCATGAGAAACAAATATGTGTAAAAACCAGTGTATTTTGAAAAAGTTGTGATTGCAGTCAAACAAGGTAATATTTTCAAGTTCCAACCAATCCAATCCAATCAAAGTTGACATTTCTTGTCACCTAGTTATTCACACTGATTTGCTTGATTATTTTGTTATTCCCATCTTAACTTTATTTTCTTGATATTCAGAGAAATTGTGTTATACATGTGCATGTGAGCATCAGTTGGGCCCAGTTCAGCTGCCAGCTAGCATGTCAACACATGATTTAGTGTGTATTGGTATGCTACAATAATCCGTGGGCTCAGCCTCTTGGCTCAGCTGAAAAGTCAAAGGAGGCTTTAAGCTACAAGAACACTCCGAAGTGTTTCATCTCTTCTGAACAGGCCCTGTGTCTGCTGCTCTGCCACTCTGGGTGGGGAGGTGGAGGTGACAGGGCAAAATGCTTTTTGAATGAAAGCACATCAGGGATTTTATCTAAGAATAGATTTGTGAACGTTCTCTTTTTTCCTTCGCTTTCCCAAGTTCTCGACTGCTGTTAGCACAATGGCTGAGCAATGACAGCTAACAACAGTTTCTATAGGCTAAGTCTTTCTTCTGAAGAGAGTGAGACAGATGCCAGACCTTCCTCCACAAACTCACTCCATGTGTGCGGGTGTTTATAGAGTCAGAGGGGTGGGGGGTGGGGGTGGGAGAGAGAGAGAGAAGAGAGGAAGAGAGAGAGAGAGAGAAATTGGCCCGGTCCGAGCCGGGATTCTCAAGGGGAATGTACAACACAATAGCAACTTTTTTTACCCCTCTTGTGGTTGCAGCACACTCCCAATTGTCCCTCCTCCCTCTCTTTCCTTCTCTCGCTTTTCCTCCTCCCCCTCTGTCTTGACACACTCTCTCCCTCACTCCTCCCCTCTGCTCCTTCACTGCCTCCCTCGCTTCCCCCCAATCCACATTTCTGACTGAGCGGGGAATGGCTAACACCATGGTCTCAGTGCGCAGCTCTGAGCTGGGGCCCCTCGGCTGGGACGCAGTCACTAAACGTCAGCTCTTCCTACAGAAAGTCTCCTCCAAGCTGGGGCCCAATTCCAGGCAGCAGGGGAGAGGCATCAGAGCGGATAAGGGGCCCACTGGACCGGCTCCACCTCCAGGGTCAGGGACTGGACCGCCAGGACAGGGGAGCCCCGGACCCAGGCAAACCCAGAAGGATGGCTCCACGTTGGAGGACAGACAGGGCGCTGGTGGTGGATCTCCAACGAGAGCGAGGCAGAGCCAAAGTCAGTGCCAGGGTGAGTCAGTATGGTTTCTGTATGTATGTAGAGACATAAAGATGAGCTATTTCAGTACACACACATTAACTTCATGAAGGCTGAAATGTAAACATGCTGCACATGGACTATATGTCTGGTCTGGTCTGCTCTGCTCTGCTCGACAACACGCTCTTCAGCTTCTCTCTCTGTCAGTCAGGCATATAGACTCATGTGTCAGTAGCAGCAGACTCAGGAAATGAGCAGGCTGACACTGCAGAGCTGCAATCTAAAATGCCTTCCACATACCACTACACCACTCACATGCACACGACGACACACCACACAGCTCTCAGCTCAACAGACCGGTTTTGCAGGCCCTAACACACACTGTTTTCGACTTTCCACTCCTCTGTCACACGACAGTGAGCAAGGCTTGACGGAGCAGGCGTGGGGCATGATGTACTGTTACTGTGTGGTGTGTGTGTGGCGCTGGTGAATTAGCGTTCTCGTGTTGAGTTGTGTCAGCTGCTGAGTGTTGGCATAAGAAGCAGAACTCTGTTTCTTTAAATTCTACAGTTGACAAACTACTGATAGACACTGGACTGTGTGTGTGTGTTTATGTGCAAACTAATTTTACCCTGCACTTCCCTGTTTGTCTGCAGAGGAAGTTGACGAGCACATGGGTAACATTTTTCCCTTGTATACTTTCATGAATTTTTTTCCCTTTTCTCCGCCATCCTCTTTTTGTTTTTCTCCTTTCTCTGCTTTCTTTTTTCCTCAAGGGAATTTCAGGTGTGTGTGTGTGTGTG